ATCTATTGAAAGTCAGCCCTCCACACAAGGGTTTGTCTTTAACCCCACCCCACCCCCATGTGGCGGGCAGTCATCCCAAGCCAGTCCCATCCCTTCCGGTCCCAGTGGGGTGGGGTTCATGGGCGGTCCCCTCCCCATCCATCCTGTTTCAGGTGGGGCCTCCTCCTTCTACTCCCTCTCTCGACTCTCCAGTCCCGGCCGGAGGGCCTCTCACCTGCACACCCCCGCCAGCCCAAGGCTGGGGTTGTGTATGTGTGAGACTCGGCCAGTGTCGACATTGGGGAGGGGGTGGACGCGCAGTTCCTGGTTTTGCCCTCACCCCCCCCTTTGCCGCCCGGGTGGTGGTTCCCATTCCGCGTCCCCGGCACCGTGGGGAGGGGTGGTCCCGTCCATCCATCTGCTCCATCAGTCCACTTTTTCCCCCTCTCCATGCACGGAGAGGGTGGCCACCTGAGCGCCCCCTTCTCCATCTTCCTCTCCGAGACACACGTCAGGTTGATCAGTTGCCACCCAGGGACTTAACCAATTTCCTCCCCACCCCCCCCCCCACTTTGGCACTGCGGTCAACCAATTGTAGACTTAGTTTTGGACTTAGTCTCTGGGGCTCTGGCCCCTTGTGCCTGCAACCTTCTTCCCTCCCGCCAAGCCTGGGAGGGGGGGGAGGGGGGAGGTACACGCCCTGGCAGTACGGCGGTCAACCAGTTGTCTTTAGTGTGTTGTAACCATGATGACGGGGAGGAGGGTGAGTTTTCAGGACCCTTTCCAACAGTCAATGTATTGGGAAGAGGGAAAGGGAAGGGAAGGGGAGGGGAAGAGTCGGGGAGTCGGTCGATCAATCCGTCTCTCCTATCCTCTCCTCTCATACCCCCCACCCCCACACCCCCACCCCACCTTCGGGCTTCCCTGGAGTCCTGCCTGAACAATTGTCTTGCCCTAAAACCTCTTTATCTTCCAACCCCTGCCTGACCAGATAGTGATACCTGAAGCACTCAGCAGAAACCAGCCAGCCCAACCAGCCAGAGGGGAATGCGAGCCATCCATCACCCTGTCGGGGTATACGTATGCAGGTGGCATAACCGTCCATCATCCCCACCCCACTCCACCCCACGCAGGTGATCACTCGACCTCTGCTTCTGCCCCCCACCCCCACCCCTGCACCAAAATTCACAACCCTACCCTCAGAACAAAATAAAACAAATTTGCTTGAATCTCAAAAAAAAAAATTAAATAAATAATTTAACCACATAAGAAACTGAGTCATATTTACAGAAATGTGTCTCCACTAGAAGTAATTTATAATTTATAGCCATACTCTTTCAGAATACTGTTCTTCTTATGTTTCTGTTTGTTTAATGAAAAAGGTAGTTGAGGGGTTTTTTTCTATAAACTATTTTCTTTTTTCATTCTTCCTTTCTTTTTTGTGCTGGTTCTGTGGCCTGAACTAAGAGACAAGACTGTCCCTTAGCTTTTTCCATCAAGGTTTGTCCTCTACCACTTGAGCCATACCTCCACTCCTGTGTTTTAGATGGTTAATTGGAGGTAAAGGACTTTCCCTGACTTGGCTGTCTTTGAACTGTGATCTTCAACCCTGTAAGTATAGGATTATATATTAAGCTACCAGCACCCTGACTTCACTTTTTTTTACTACAGAAAATATTCTTTTGTGGGTCATGGAAAAGAAACGAGGACTGGTCTTTGATAATAAACATGTCCATATAGTTTCCTGAATAGGAACCATATGGATATCAAGAGGGACAAAGTCATACTGCCAAGATAATGAATCCTCCTCATTTAGTAGTCTGAAAGTATAACCAAATCAACCAGAAAGGTCATAAGTAGTTAGACAAACCATAAGTAATGGCTATAATATTAAAAACACAATTATGTGTTATCTAAAACAGGCATGCTGAGAGCCTACTACATGATAGAAATGTGTGAGAAAGATATATATTTCATGCCAGCAGAGCCACAGAAAGATGGAATAACCAAGAATAACCAATCAATGATACTTCAGGATTTTTCTTTAAAATATATGTGTTTGCATGCAACTGGAAATGATATTGAACAGGGATAAAAAGTCAAGGTTTCCTCTCTTGGTTCAGGAAACTTATGAAAAACAATGGGCAAGGGAAATGAGAAATATATAAAGGTCTGAGATGTGATCCTTGAAGGAGTCATCTAAAAGGGGCCATCAAACAACTAGCACACACAAAGCACGGGAGCCAAATGCCCATGTGAAGAATTGGATTACTTGTTGCTGCCAAGAATCAGGAAGAGTTTCTCTAATTCTCTACTCTTGGTTCTAAATAAGATCTCTGTACCTGTTTGCATTATGGCCTAATTTTTCAATGTTTCTCATATAAGCTGTTACTCTTCCTTAACTTTCTTTTAGTTTGAAAAATGGAAAATTGAAAGGACTACTCCTATTTCATAAGAGCCTAAAATTGTGTATGGAGTTAATATGTAACAGAATTATTACTCTAAGTTCATAGAGGTGAAAAATGGGTAAAGATAATGAACACGTGTATAAACTGTTCTAACCAGAAGCTAAGCACAAATGTATGTTAACAAACCCAGGCACCAATTGCTCACTCCTTTAATCCTTGCTATTCAGGAGGCTGCGATTTGAGATAGTGGTTTGAAGCAAGCCCAGTGGGAAAGTCCATGACTCTTATCCCCGATAAAATACCAAAAAAAAAAGTAGGGCTGTGGATCAACTCGTAGAGTGCTAGCTTGAGCCAAAAGAAACTTGGGAAAATAGTCCTGAATTCAAGCCCCAGGTCTGGTACAAAAAAATAAAATATGCCAACAGGAAAATTTGCTGTGTTTGAACTGTAACCTATAACAACTGCACACATACACATACAAAAGAAAGAACAATTGTGGCAAGAAAAGTGAAAAGTTAATAGTAATACCTAAATATTTTCAGAATGCCTTTGCAACTGGGCACTGGTTGCTCATGCCTATAAGTGTAGCTGCTCAAGAGGCTGAGATGTGAGGATTGAGGCTTAAAACCAGCAGAAAAGTTATTTTCTTTCTTGTCAGTTGTGGGGTTTGAACTCAGGGCCTGGACACGGTCCCTGAACTCTTTACCTCAAGGCTAGTGCTCTATTACTTTGAGCCACAGTGCCACTTCCTGTTTTTTGTGTGGTTAATTGGAGATAAGAGACTCACAGAAAAATAAAGGAGGGGGTAACAATGTTCAATAGGAAATGTACTTATTACCTTACTCATGTAACTGTACCCCTCTGTACAGTATCTTTTCAATAAAAAAAATTTTTACAGGGCTTCACAGAGACTTTTTTGCCCTATCTGGCTTCAGACTGTTATACTCAGATCTCAGCTTCCTGAGGAGTTAAGATTACAGGTGTGAGTCACTGGCACCCAGCAGCAGAAAAGTTCTTGAGATACTTATCTCCAATTAACCAACAAAAAGCCAAAAGTGGAGGTGTAGCCCAAGTGGGAGAGTGTTAGCTCTCACTCCCAAGTGAAAATAAGAGCCCCTGAGATCATGCCCCAGAATCTCCAAAAAATAAGATGATAAAAGGGAATGTCTTTGAAAAGATTTTTTTGTAGTAAAAGAGAGTTCTAAACAAAACTGGGAGGTGTGCCACAGCCTAGATTGTAAGAATGAAGCTGGACTACAGTGATTCTGATAGGAATTGGGAAAAAGCCTAACATGTCAAAAGAAAAATAATGACTATCCCCAAAAACTTGACAGAGAATAGAGAGAAATGTCCACAACAATGACTGTATTTGTTGGGCAGGTAATGGGAAGAACACATACAGACAAGGACAAGGACCTCAAGAACTTAGCTGGGGCACTTTCATTTAACTGTTGAATTCTACAATGTATTAGTCCATAATCACTTGGGCATGAATCTCTGAGATGATCTTTTTTTTCTTTTTTTCTTTTTTCTTTTTTTTATTGTGAAACTACTGTACAGAGGGGTTACAATTACATGGGCAAGATAATGAGTACATTTCTTATCAAGCATTGTAGACTCCTCCTTTGATTCCCTTCTCCCTCCCTTCCCATCCTCCCTCCGCCCCCCAACCCTATCCTCCACCCCCCCTGCACCAAAGTTGTAAAGTTCATTTTCTTTTTTTAAAAAAAATTATATTTTTATTGTGAAAATACTGTACAGAGGGGTTACAATTACATGGGCAAGATAATGAGTACATTTCTTATCAAGCATTGTAGCCTCCCCCTTTGTTTACCCTTCCCATCCCTTCCCATCCTCCCTCCCTCCCCAATCCTCCCCCCCCAAGTTGTAAAGTTCGTTTTCGACATGACAACTTGTACTTCTCATTGTTGCAACAGGTCCACCTGTATCCTTATTTAAACGACTTGTTTTTCCCCTTCCCCTCCACAAATTATACCAACATCAAATACGGTGAAAGCAGGGGTTGTAAAGTTCATTTTCGACATAACAACTTGTACATCTCATGGTTGCAATGGGTCCAGCTGTGTCCCTATTTAAATGATTTGTTTTTCCCCTTCCCTTCCACAAATTATACCTACACCAAATCTGTGGGGGAGGGACATACAAAGCAACAAAGAAATAATGTTATAAATGTTTTAGAAACAATTGCACGAAAGAAAAAAAAAACATTTGAAGATGATCTTGAGGATGTTGCCTTAAAAAATTGTAGATGAATTCTTCTTGCTTAAAATATTAAAATGTATAATTATGATAATAAAAGTATAGGAAATCTCAATCTCAGCAAAAATAAATATTTTAATGACTGGATCCTTAAAATATAACTGCTACAACTTTCATATATACTTATTATATTTCTACACTTCTGAGATTTAAGTTATAATCTTTAAATATATTACATTTAAACTTTCATAATGCATAACTCTCATCTACCAACCTGTGGACTACCCTACTACCAGACAAATAAAAAGAATTTAAGAAAAATAGTATTCTTTAAATAAATGAATTCCAGCCAGCATTGTCATTTCTCATAGCATCCATTCACTATAACATCCATTAACATACTATAGGCCGAGTCAATAACTTTAGCATGGAAAATTTTACTTCCTGGTTTCGAAGTGTATAAATCACAGGGTTTAGCAGAGGAAATATCACTGTATGAAAGAAAGAAACAACTTTGTCAGCTGGTAAGGCCCTGAATGGACGAGTATAAATGAAAATTGCAGGTCCAAACATAAGAAATATAATAATAACATGAGTGGTACATGTGGATATGGCCTTGTTCTTCCCTTCAGATGATGACTTCCTAATGTGACATAAGACGATTGCATAGGAGGAAAGAAGCCCCACAAAACACACCAGGGAAAGCAGGCCACTGTTGAAAACCATAAGAATTTCCACCACAAAGGTATCAGTGCAGGCTAGCTTGATGACCTGAGGAACATCACAGAAGAAGTTATCCAATTGGTTTGGACCACAGAAGGGCAAACGGAGAATGAGGACCACCTGGATAATGGAGTGCACAAATCCTCCAAGCCACTGAGCCAGTACCATCACATAGCAAGCTCTAGAGTTCATGACAGAAGAATAATGTAAAGGTCGGCAGATAGCCATGTAACGGTCAAAGGCCATCACAACAAGGAGTAAGAACTCCCCTCCTCCAAGGAAGTGCAAGAAAAACAGTTGAGTGATGCAGCCTGGGTAGGAGATCACCTTCTTCTCAGAAAAGAAGTCCACCAACATCCTGGGAACCACAATGAAAGAGTAGGAGGCATCTAGGAAGGCCAAGTTGCCCAGGAAGAAATAGAGTGGGGCTGTGAGTCCAGGGTCTGATCTTATAGTGAGAATGATGAGAATATTTCCAGGAAGAATGATGAGGTAGAAAATCAAGATGAGAGCAAAAACCAAAAACTGAATATCTCTAGACTGGGTCAGGCCAAGGAGGATGAATTCTGTTACCACCGTGCTGTTGTTTCTCTCCATCTTTCTTCCCTGCAGGAAATTATGGATCATTGTTTAGTCTTAGTATATTATGGAGTACAGTTTACTATTTTTACTGTGTATGCCTTCTAGATGTTCACTTTTCTTCCAGCTAAAAAGTATTTGACAATCCTTATTTCAACTAAAACAACTTTTTTATTAGAGAGGTTCAATGTCTTGGGTAACCTCCTTCAGTTCATTTCTCAAAATTTAAAAGGCAAACAAAAACACTGACCCCAATACTTTGTTCATATTATGTACAGATTTGTTTCTAATAAATTCCTTTGCTTTGGAAGTCTGATTTCTTCTTCCTGCAAATCTTAACCTTGATAAGTCATAAAAGTAGTTTTTAATTGAGATATAATTTCAATTGTCAATTAAATATTTTAGATTCATCACCCTTGAGGCTTAGCATTTGTCTTAGTATTATATCACTTTTTCAATATTTACACAGACTATAATGTTTTTATATTCTTTGCTTCTTTCAATCCCTGTGAAGTACCTTCCTTGATGTCTATATGACTTACTAATTTGTATATTACCAAGTATATATCAGATATTTCATCTGATATCCTAAATAGCCTTATCAGAAACTGTTTTACCAGAACTTCAAAAAGTAAAATGTAGAGTCACAACTTAGAGATTTTGTCTTGTCTGGGACCCTGGTTAAGCACCCCTCCTGTGGCCACTTCATACCTTGTTCATACTCTGAATTGGCATTATTTGAGCCTCACATACTTATCTACTCCGTACTCACTTGCCTTTCTTTGCATAATTAGTCTTATTAATAATTATGCTATAACCATAGCATAAAATAGCTAGAAATAAACACAAGATAACTTGAAATTCCTTCATTCCAAACAAGAGAAAGCAATCTCCTGTGATTAGATAACAAACCTAGTGACTTATTTTTGTTTTAATTGTAGTAGAATATTTCAAGTATATACAGTTCATTTTAAATAAATCACAATTATGGCTCTAATCAATAGATTTTCTTTTCTCTGTAATTTAATAAGTAAAAATATTACTACTAAACTCAACTCTCTTCTGATTTTTAATTTGATATCTAGCCTGGTGTAAATAAAATAGTTACTATTCATAGTAGAAGCTACTCAGAAGCACAGAGTTGTTTTAAGGTTTTAAAATTTAAAGTTTTAAAGTTCAGTTTGTTTAATTTTTATGGATATTTTAGAAGATGCATACAGTAATCCATTAAGGTACTGAAATAAATGGTTATCTATGTATGTGTATATTAATTTCATGTGCATCATTTAAAATTTCTTTTAATCTTTTTTTGTCAGTGGTGAGACTTGAACTAAGGCTGGATGCTGTCCCTTAGCTCCTCAGCTCAAGGCAAGCACTCTACCATTTGAGCCAGAGCGCCACTTCCAGTTTATTGGAGATAAGAGTCTCATGGACATTAGAGCCCGGGCTTGCTTTGAATCGCAATCCTCAGATCTCAGCCTCCTGAGTAGCTCAGATTACAGGTGTGAGCCACTGGCACATGGCTTCCACTTTTAATCTTATAATGTACAACATGTATATATGATGCATGTCTTTCATTTCTCCCACCTCATTTTCTTCATCTTAATTTTCTCTTTAGTCCTTGTTTTCTTCATTTTTTTCTCCCCAAGTTTCATTACTTCTTTTATTCTGATATTAATGTGTGTCTCTTCCATCCTCATCACTTAATATTAAGTGGTATTCTTCCAATTTACATTCTTGAGTTTCTAATATTTTATATCACAATACATATTTAACTACTTATAAATGAACATTGACCATATAAAATAAGGTGATATTTTTACCTTTTTTGAAGTATGGGTTGAACCCAGAGCTTCTTGGTAGCTAAATAGTCACTTCTGCATGAGCCAGACTACCATGACTTCTCTTTATTATTTAAAGGTAAATCTCATTAAAATTATTCTAAAAATGTATTTGATGATGATTCAAAACAGTAGAAATGGAATGTATGTGAGCATGACAACAGAAATTTGCAAAAAAAGTAGAGAATTACAAGTTTTAAACTTATTCCAAAAAGGTGAATCAAGTTGAATAGCATAACAAAATACTACTTGATTCCAAATACACATATATAATATAATATATACGTATATAAAATACTAAAAAATACATAGATCTACAATAAAATATTTCTTAATAAAATAAAAAGGCTGGATTAAATAACCTGGAAATTATTTTGAATGTCAGCTTTTCAGATGAAATCAGCACACAAAGTTCTTGGTTGGGGAATCAATTATCTGAGTCTCAGGTCTTATGTCAGTAATTGGCTGTGAGTGATACCGAGAAATTTCCTTAGCTTTCAGAAGCTTGAGATTTTTTTCTATCAAATAAAAGCATATCTATTTAAAGGGAGAATTGGAAGTAATGATATTAAAATATGTCTCATAAAATTATAAGCAAATGAAAATAATCTTGAAATATTTTCATGTTAAGAGGTAAATTTAGGAAAAGGACACAATGTTACTAGATCCTTTAACAGTATCTTTCAGTAAAGCCTGGCCTAGATATTGTAGTGCCAAAATTTGAGTATTGATGAAACAAGAAATTATGAATGTTCAGTAAATATCATGTTAAATTGTCATTGTAGTTAGTAATGTGAACATCAAGTTTTTTTTCATTCTACACTTTTTCTATCAAAATCCTAAACATAAATGATACAATTGAAGGAAACAGAAGAAACTCCATACCTGCTCAGGGTGAAAATCAAAAGTCCTGATCTATCTTGTAAAAATTATAAAATATATTGTTTCTCTGGAACTCATGGCCTACTCTTTCTGCAGTTTTTTTCCTTTTGCTTACAATACAGTCATCTATATAATGCTTAACACCAGAGGCCAGAAGAATTGTATTAATACTGAAGCTAATCTAAAAGTTGTAAGATTATAAAAATTCCAAAGATTCTGAAGATGCTCAAGTTGAAGGCCTACTGGAGAAGAGGGTAGAAAGTAATTCAGTGCTGACTTTCAGCCTTAGCTTCTGGCTATTCCTACTGAAACTCTGACTTCTAGTGTCTTGCTATCCAAAACAGCAGATTAATCAGTTGAATAATTCCAATATAGTTTCTATTATCTCATCTGACTTAGGTCTTGTAAAGTGAAGCACCCAAGAAACTCAAGTATCTAGAGATCTTATGATACTCTTTCAAAATATCTTTTCTCCCAGTCTTGATACAGTATTAACTAATCATTTTGGGCATTGCTCCAGATATTTATTGTCACATAGAAAGGCTTAGATTATAAAATCATTCTTCTTTCATCTGTCTTGCAAAAAATGCAGTTGGGATTTGAGAGTACCTTCTTCAATACATTGAGTGAATCCCTAGGGAATTATTAAGCTAACCATAATAGTTATCAGCAAAAATAGCCAAAGAAAAATATCAGAACTTTTTAAATATTAATTTTTAAGTAGGTTAGCTAATGCCACCTTGGGTAAGTCTGAGTTTGAAAACAAAAATTCTATCACATAGAATATTATGTGTAAGCATATTTTTAAAGAAATGTAGGTTAGCTAATGCCACACTGAGGTAAGTCTGAGTTGAAAACAAAAATTCTATCACATAGAATATTATGTGTAAGCATATTTTTAAAGAAATGACAGATGAAAGAAATTAAATTATATTATAACGCATTCAAAAATAATATACTACATATAATACTATATATATATATATATAATGCAAGCAGTGTCAGAATAAAACAAAAATATAAATATACTAAAATATTTAGGGAAGCTTCAGTTTACTAATTTTTTCCAGCTACCTTGGGTTGTAATAAAGCTTAGTATGGCACAATAATTGATCCTGCCTTTATAATATTTAATATTTACTTATTTAAAATGCTTTATTCTTAATAATTCTAAAATTCTAAAAATATGGTACCTATACACAATGGAATTTTACACAGCCATTAGAAAGAATCATCTTAAGTCATTTGGAGGGAAATAGAAAAGACTCAAGCAAATAATGTTAAGTGAGGTAAGCCAAGCTCAGAAAGACAAATGACAAATATTTTCTCTCATATACTGAGGTTAGATGTAAAAATACACTGGTATATAATAAATCATACATGATTCTAGGCATTTACATACAGTGAGACCAAAGGAAGAAATTCTTAGGAGAGGAACAAAAGGCACAATGCCTACGTGCATCTGGTAATACAAAATAGTATTTATTAAAATGAATGCCAGGAAATGAAAACAAGAGGTTTATTTCTTTTTCACTGTTTGTGTTTTCTGTACTTCTTGTCTTGTTTGTTTATATATCTTTGAGAGTCTAAGAGGAGGCACAGAAATGGAGGGACAAAAGGTGAGCAAATGCAGTAATAGTATTCACTGGACACTATGTGGAAAATGAACTATATAACTTGTGGGTGAGATAGAAGGGAAAAACAGAGACAGTGAACAAGCCGTGACATTATTCAATAGCAAATGCTCTCTTTCACTGACTCATGTAACTGTAACCTTTCTGTTTTTAGGATTTTCAAATATTTTTTTAAAGGGAAAACAGTTTATAATCCACTTTACAGTGGAATAGCAAACATCTATTTGTAAAAGTAAAATAATTCACTATCTCATAGGTCATTGTTCTAATTTATTTTCATTCAAACACACAGAGTCAAAAGAAGGAAAAGGGGAACAATAAGAAAGGAGACAAAAAAAGCATAAAAAGTTAGAGTAATCAAAATGCATATGAGGAGAAAAGACAAAATTAGGAAGAGCTAAATGGAAAAATAGTTACATAATTTTAGAAAATGACAGAAAGATACTGATATACAGGAGTACTCAATCCACAATTCCATAAAGCCATAGTAGAATATCAGTGATAAACAAAACTATTCTAAGTTAAAAAGAGGACTTGAGGTATAGCTTAAATACTCAAGAGACTGCAGAATGGAACCCGACAGAAGGAATGGGAGTCTAAAGAAACCATAACCAATCAACTAAGTGACTTGAGAATAACACTGAACGCCAAATTAAGAAAG